GGTAGGCAGGCACTGTACATGTCGATGGGGTGCGCTGGCATCCAGCTCTGGAATAATCGGGTCAGCGAGTACCTGCCGATGCGGCTGTCGACATCCAACAAGGGGTGGCACTCATAGTGGTTCTACCTCAAGAAGGCCCTGGAGTTCACCGGGCGCCTGATCGAGGAGGCCCCGGAGTCATGGAGGAAGTGGGGCGTCCTGGAGAAGGACAAGAAGAAGATCTAGGATCACATCGCCGCCATCCAAATCCTAAAGGAGAGTGGCCTGAAGGGGTCAGATGTCATTGAGGTCTACCACGCAAGGAGGGTGGCACCATTGATGATATGCGTGCTCCCGCTGTATGCGATGGCGCCCGAGGCATCGTTCGATGGAACGACGCTTGCCGAGGGGGCGCTCTCCAACTCCGAGATCACGCAATGCATCAAGGAGGCAATGGAGCCCTCATGGGATGACGCGAGCGCCCCCCTCAACTTCATTTATCCAGTGTCGGGGCATCCTCCGATGCGGCCGGAGCCAGGTCACATCGTCTTCGTAAGTTTCCCCTTTCTGTGTCTTTTTCAGATGATTTCCCGACCTCTTGATACTAACTTTGAGGGGGATGGGACCACCGAGGGACCTCATCTTTATGGATCTCCTGGCTCCATTGCCGAGGGATTCGTCTGTGAGGGTGACGAATCGTGCCGAGGGTGACCGGCTGAGGAAGGCGAAGGAGGACAAGAGGGGGGAAAGGCAGCGGAAACTGCAAGCATGGGAACGGGGGGATGATACCAACAGTGATGACAATGATGATGATGGTGATGATGTCGAGTGGGGCATCCTAGAGAATGAAGATGCACTGACAGGTAGTGGTTTGCCCTTGTAGGAGTCAGGACCCTTTCCGTTCCATGAAGAGGAGGGTATGTCCGAGGAGCCAGTAGAGGCAGGACGTACTGTCGGCCTCCCTCAGGAGTCAATAGGGGCAGGTAGTTTTGCCACCGCGCCTGAGATGTCGACGGAGGCGGGCGGCTCTGCTGCCGTGCCCCAAGAGTCAAGGGGAGTGAGCCTGGTGGCTTAAGGCAAAGTTGCTCTTCTCTAGCTGCTCTTCCATCCCTATTAAGGGTGTACGACAATTAGAGTCCTCCATTAGCAGCTAATTAAGCCCCAAGTTGACACTATCAACAACTTGACGAGGTTTAAGCCTTGCTTTGCTTGTGCTCCAATTACTTGGTCCAAACATGGTCAAATTAATCCCAACCTTTTGTATGTCCTTCTCCAAGATGTAAACTCCAACTTTTATTTTGGGATCAAGTCAAGTTGCTTAACGAAAACATGAGAACGTGACATGCCAACTATCCTTGCCACTAATCTCAGACTTAGAATATTTTCCGAGGCTGAAAACAACAGCTGATTCAAACTTGAGACCACTATTTGAGCCACTTAGGAGTTGAAATAGGTCTTGGTCAAAAAAATAAAGTTTGTTGTACTCCACTCAAACTTCAACTTTTATTTAAGGTCCAACTCCATGCAAGCACTCCAGACAGTTGGTCGACACAGGTCAAAACCATATCATGAAAAAGGACAAGTTTAACTATTCCCACACTTAGAAGCATTTTCTTGACACTTGCTCAACACGAACCCTTCATGACTTTTGTTGTAGAGTTCAATTAGAGTCATTTGGGCAAGGTAGCAAGGTTTGGTCGACACGCCATGTTCCCATTCACCTGATGAAGCAATTCAAGAAAGGTTATAACTTATCATTTTATGTGACCTTTTGATTCCAAACTTCATGAAACTTTTCCAATTGTCAAGATGGCTTGATGCTAAGGTGATGCTCATGGAAGAGGCACGTTGAACACTACTCAAGCATACATTTGAAAAGGGTCAACATGTAAGCAAAGTGTATTATCCAAGTTCAAGTTGGGGCTCCTTTTCATAGGTTTCACCTCAATACCTTCATCATTACTTCCAGATTATGAACTACAAATCATAATCATTGCTCGATATATCCTACTTAAGTCCAAATCCACTTCTTAACTTGTGACTAACACCTGAGGTGTTACACTATGTGCCTATGTGGACCTGGGTCAAACACTAAGGTAGGGGTTGGCCATGACCTCTTCCCTCTGCCTTCACCGCACACCGCACAACTCCTCACAACCTCTCCTCCGTCTCGACCTCTGGGAGGAACGGGGAGAGATCGAGCCCCGCCACGCGCGTATGCTCTGACAAGAGTAGGCACGCCTCACTGACCCCGCAAGGACCCCTCAGCCCGGTCAGACACCATCACTGCGCCACGCAGCAAAGACAAGATAACACCGCCAAATGGTGGCGGCCAGTACGGTACCCCACCGTCTAAATACGGTTCGACGAGATGGGTGTACGACCCCAACCACTACGAGATAGGGTTCACGACAGCGGCCTTGACTTCGAGGCCATCCAAGCCAATGAAGGACACGACCCCGGGACTTGGGATCGTGGCCACCAGCTCCGCAAGCAGCAAGACGATCAATGATCTGGGGGGGCTACCGACTCCTGTACGACGCCCCCGAGAGATTAGGAGGCGATGACGAAGGCCATGGCAAGACCACGTCGCATAGGACGGCTGGCGAACCACCACAGTGCCTATAGTGTCGCCATGACGGGCATAGTAGCACCACGCCACATCATGCCGCGACGTGGGCATAAGACCATGACGACAACCATGCCCGGACGTGCGCTACACCAAGATAAGATGGCGTTACTTTCAAGCCAAGTTAGCTAGGCTCCCTCCCTAAGGTTATGACCCCTCGGTCGAGAGAACCACCCTCTTTGTATGCGACCTGGCCCGGACTCTATATAAGGGCAGTCAGGACACCCTTCCAAGGGATCGGACTCTCGAAGCTCTCATTCGGGCAGTCCATCTTCTAGCTTTAGCTCCACTCTCCTACGTCTTCCACCATTCTTGCACCCTCCATTGTAAGAACTTTAGAGCATTCAAGCGAGGAACACGCACTCGATCATCTCTGAAACTGGACATAGGGCTCCAGCCTGAACCAGTATAACTTCTCGTGTCTTTTGGATGCTACCATCGTCTTCCTGAAGCAACGCGGCAATCGTATAAGTTTACTAGCCGGTCTTCAAAACACCGATAATTTTATTTGTTGGAGGACACTTTTTAATTGTGACAAAAGGCTCTTAGACATAGTTACTAAATAATTTTAGTAGTAGATGAGGGTGAGAAATTAAAAGTAACTATTATATCCCCAACAGTTATACCACAAACTTTAATGTTATTATATCTAAAAGAATTAATATTTTTTGTGAAGATGGATGAAGATGAATTTTACATCAAAATTGTAAAGCTTAAAGAGACCAACAACTTTGTAGTTGACAAGTTTTTATTTGAAATGATTTAGAGTAGCAAAAAAATCTTTTAATTCACAAATTGTGAAATTGAAAATTTAGAATTTTTTTGAATGACCTCATATGCTAACATGATCTCTACTATGTACTTTAAGGCATCCATCTACTCTCTCCGTCCCAAAAAGGTGTGATCATAGGATTCATGCCATTCAAATTAATTAGTTTAAATATGCTTATTTTGTATTATGTGTTAGTACATTTTTATATAATTTGATCGTATTTCAATTATTCGACTCCTTAAAACATTCTTTTCGGAGTGCAAGTTTACCCGGAAATATGTGGCCAGGAGATTTCGTGCATTTTGTGGCGCCAACCCGGGGGAGCTTGTGGCTTGGAGCTGTCCACTTGTGGCCAGAGCCTTGCTGCTTCTAGGAGGCTCGCCGCGTGTCAGAACGGGCCCCGGGGACGACCGCGGCTTCCGGCTTGGTGTTGCGTGACGTGTCATAAAGCGCACCTGCAGTATGCTCCGCTTTATCCGACCCCGCACTTTTTTATCCGTCCAAGCGTCCACATAGCGTGGCAGCCGGCAGCCACGCTCCTGTCGCTCCAAATTGAGAGGCTGGGATATTTCCGCGATTGTTATGGCCACAAATTTAGAGGCAGGGGAATTTTTTTTCCCCCGAATTGTTATGGCCACAGTTTTTTTTTTGTTTCCTTCCTCTTCGTATTGATTAATGATGAGTACTACTAGCTTTCTTCTCCTCAATCCACACTGCATGGCTTTCGTGATTCGAGTCATCTACTGAACTGCATCCACGTGACTTTGGGAGCCAGACGCGCAGAGAGCGGGTATTGAACCGGGTGTATAGAGACCAGGTTCGATCATGGAACAGCTAACTGAAGCACGCATGCAGCACTGCCCAAACGTGCATCAAGACCCTCTGTAGAGATTGACTTGGACATCAGAAGACCTTCGCGTTCAGTTTGACAAATTTTGTTCGATCACCCGCCTTTGTTATTTTTTTTATCTATATTTAATGTTCCATGCATGCGTCTAAAAATTAATGTGATAAAGAGAAAGTGAAAAATCTTGGAATTTGGAGGTAATCTAGACAAGGCCTCACCCGCCTTTGCCGCATAGTCATCGAGCCTAAGTTTGAGGCTGCTATCGCCATTCGCCACGCCCGAGTGATTATTAATTTTGGAGGCCCCGGCCGGGCGAGGGAAGCATTCGCAACGCATGACAGCGACGGGGGCCGGAGGAGCAGCCAGAGCCACGAGAACCAGCGGCCTCCCGAACCCTCTCCTTCCTCCGCCCACCGGATTGGTGGATTATTCCCGCCGCGACCGAGAAAGAAGAAGCCGAGAAAATCGCAGCCACGAGAAGGGAAGGTGGGAGAAAAAGAGCGGGGAAAGTGGAAAAATCCCGTCCGACGTGGCGAGCTTGCCCATGCTCTTTTTCTGCCGACGCTCCCTCCTCTTGTCTTCATCCATCTCCACCAGTGCAAACCGGGCCTACGTAAAACGTTCGCCTCCTTCGCTTCTCGCCCCTCTCCTCCTCCTCGCGCAGGTTTGAGAGACCTGAGGTATTGGAAGGTGGCGACCTCGGGGGCTGATCGGCGGCGGCTTGGGTCGGATTGGTTTCGGGAAGTTTGGTCTTGACTCAGCACTGGATGGAGATGGCCTCTTTGGAGGTAATATTTGTGATCTTCTTCCCTTGTCTTGGAGAGATCGTTTCAGGGTGAAATTCACTCGAGGCGATTGGATTGAATGGTGTTATCACCTTCTTGGGGCCTGAATTTTGGATGTTTCCCCCGTTGTCCACAGCAATTTCCGGTGGCAACCGACGAGACCGCCGTTGCCGATCGAGCGGGCGGTGGAACCACCGTGCATCACCCTCTGGATCCCCGCGACATGGATTTGTCAGGGGAGGAGCACGTGCCCAAGGTACAGCGGCGGCGAATCCCGGCCGCGTCGCCGCAGAATATGTGCCATCCTGCGTGTTCTCACTCTGTTTCTTCCACGCTTGCCTGACCGACCAGGCGCGGAAGCCGTACACGATCACGAAGCAGCGGGAGAAGTGGACGGAGGACGAGCACCGGCGGTTCCTTGAGGCCCTGCAGCTGCACGGTCGCGCCTGGCGCCGCATACAAGGTACGCACCGGCCGGCCTTTCTCTCTCTCCCCCCGCGCGCGGTCGTTCGTTCTTCGTCAGGACGAGGAGAAGCACTCACGCTCTTCTCTGTTCGTGCGTGCGTGCGTGCGTGCAGAGCACATCGGCACCAAGACCGCCGTGCAAATCCGGAGCCACGCGCAGAAGTTCTTCACCAAGGTCGGTCGTGTAACCATTCGCCTCTCTCTCCCAGCCCCAGCGTAAACAAAACGAATTCTTTCATCTCTGCCACGAACCAAAAACAAAACAAAACGACGGGTGGTTGTGTGTCACTACTTGACTCAACGCCCAATAAGTCACCCCAATCGTCCATACTATGCTAGTAGAGCAGACGACGATCGGCGAGGTGCTTGCTTACACCTTTTCTGATGTCGGAATTGCTTGCGTCGTGTGCTGCAGGTGGTCCGAGAATCATCGTCAGGAACAGGAAGCAACGCCTCCGCGGGCGCCGCGCCGGCGATCCAGATCCCGCCGCCGCGCCCCAAGAGGAAGCCGGCGCACCCTTACCCGCGCAAAGTGGACGCCGCGGCCAAGAAGCCCGCGCCGGAGTTAAAGCAGCTGGAGAAGCCGCCGCCTCTGCACGACCAGGATGAAGAAGGGTCGCCGACGTCGGTGCTTACCTCGGCGCACACGGTGTTACGAGCGGAGGAGGGGCTGGGCAGCGTGTTCGCGAACAGTTCGAGCGCCAGCAGGTTGCCGGCCCTGTCAGCTGCCGGTTCCGATGAGCGTGGCAACGGCGGCGGCTCGCTGGCCTCGTCGGTGGACGGAGAGGACGCCTGCGCATCACCGAGGACGACAGTGCCATACACCACCAAGGTACAGAGTATGTTCTTTGGTTGTTTCGTTCTTGGGCAATTAGGCAGCACTGCAGCAGACATGATAATGGTAAAGTGGTGATTGTGAAGCCTAGCACATGTTCTTTCCATTTTTATTCCTCGACTCGAAAGCAATAAAATAAAAATCTTTCAATTTAGCGACATCCAATACCGAGGCTGTACATCTCTCTTTCAGATAAGACTACGCGGCGAAAGTAATTATTCTGGAATCACTTTCGAGTGTCAAGACAGATTTGTAGATATCTCTGGATCATTTTAAATTTTGCGGTTGGGTTTCAGGTGCTCGGTGATGCAAACGAAAACAGCGTGATCTGATTCAAAAGAATTGGCACCTGCGATTTCTCACATGTTTCTTGAACGTCGATTTCAGGTGCTCGGTGATGCAAACGAAGTGGGATCAGAAGCTCCAATCTTCAAGCTGTTCGGAAAGAAAGTCGTGGTGGAAGACCTGAAAACGGACTCTTCACCTGCGAGCGCTGTCCAGGCAATCAGAAACGGAAATCCTATCGGTGCCGCAGGAGCGACGAGCCCCTGGAATCCGTGGCAGGGCAGCGTCCAGGTGCAGCAGCTCATGTACTTGGTTCCCCAGCCCGACGGCCTCGCGGCGCAACCCGTCGTGCCGTGGTTCGGCTACAACGGGAGCCTGCCGTGCGCGGTGTTCTACCCGCAGGCGGTGGCTTCTTCAGCTCAGGAGCACCAGCAGCAACAGCAGGCTTCAGAGCTTCTGGATCACAGACGCGCGCAGAGGGAAGGGTCGCTGACAGGTTCGAACATGGCGGCCTCCAGCGCCGCCGCCGTGCCGGCCGCGTCGGCGGCGCAGAACTCGGACCCCGCGGAGTCGTCCCGCCACGGTCCCAGGCAAGAAAACACTACCAGCGACGGCTACGCGGCGCCGCGGCGGGCTGCCGCCGTCCCGCGGCTGACCAAGTGCGCCAGCTCGGCTTCCTTCAGCGGGAGAGGGTTCGTGCCGTACAAGCGGTGCGCGGCCGAGAACGAGGCGCCGCGGCCGGTGGCGCCCGGAGAGGAGGCCGACGGCGAGCTGACGAGGCTGTGCTTGTGACAGGAGCTGAAGCCTCGGTGTCAGGGCTCACGAGACACGTTTTGGATGTTTGCTAGTTTTGCTCCGGTTTCATGATGAGCTGCTGCTGATATGGCTGCACATGCTCTGCAGAAGCAGGTAACCAGTTTTCCAGAAATGGATGAGCAACGCTGGTTCTTACTCCTCGGTATATACGCGTCGTATATAGGCAAATCTGTACTCATATTCCACTTTAGTTCACTGTGTGATTGTGTAATTTTGCTCCAATCTGAGAGATCCAGGGGCCAGTGGCAGACTGTGCCAACCTGGATCTCAGAGGGTTGTGTCAGCCTGTTCGATAGTCTGACCAAATGTAAATTTGGGCTTGTACCATCTGAACGACATGTAACAGGCAGAAGCCGAAATGAGCCAGTTTCCCTCAAAACACTGTGCACGATCTATTATTGCACGGCGAGCTGTCCGCCGGGCAGCAAACCCGGCCACCCGAAATCGGACGCCTGGAGTTCGGACGATGAAACGAAAAATCCCGAAATCCAAACTGGGCCATACACCATACTCTGCCGGTTAGCAGTTTCATCGCGACGGGGTTGGTTGGGGGAAGGAAGGCGGCGGGAGGTGGCTGATGGGGCGCCACACGCCGCCGTGGGGGAGGCGTCACCGGTCGCGCCAAGGGAAGCAGGCTTCGCGGGGGCAGGGAGGGGGATGCTCAGACGGGAGACGGCTACGGCGAGTAAGTTCCGGTACGTCTCTGCTCACTCGAGTGAGCTAGGGTTAGTCAGCTACGAAATCTTACTCTTTATGTGTGATCGCCGATCGGTGTAGCTAAAGCTAACAAATATTCTTGCGTCGCCGCGTCGGGAATACGGATCACAGGCTTCAGCCCAATGCCGTCGAACGCAAACCTCAATTCATGTACAGTTGAATCGTTATCGAGTCGAAGTAAAACCATGGACCTAAGTGATAGACTTAGTAGATCACCTGACATAGATCTAACAGGTACAACTTTACATACGAGATGAAAACTTTCTAGAACATGATCTAGAGAGAGAAAGGGAGATGAGATGTCACCAACCATTCGCGGCCTTGGAGGAAGAGCTCGACGTAGCCATAGCGAAGGCGATGCGGTCCGGGTCGGCAGAGTCGGGGTCACGGCATTGAGGTCGGCCGCAGTGTAGTGGTGGCGCAGAGACGATGGTGAAGACGTCAGTGGAGCTTCCCGTCACTTCAGCGCCTCTCTCTTAGATCGGATTAGGGTTAGGACTGTAGGTGGGAGAAAGGCGGCTCAGGTGAACCTCATGACGCGAGCCCCGGCCTCCCACCTCCTTTATATTGCGCTGCGCGACGGAGCCCACCAACCATGGAACAGTTGGGCGCCCCCGATTAGGGCGCGGATCAAAGCCCCGACTCAGTCGTTGGACCGAGCCGGGAGAAGATCAACCTAACACCAAGTATTAATCCACAACGATGATCTGATGCAGTTTAGCTGCTTGCTAGGAAAGGAAGCTATCATGATTCCTTCTATCTCATCTATCCTACGACTTTACTGAACAATATGGTGTTGCAGTGTACATGTTCTACAGACACTGACAAGGAACTGGCTACTCCTGTACATTTTCCTTATCGAGATTATACTGCCAAGTATTCCATGCTGTTGTACTTTGCAAATACCCTGCTCTCATTCTCTTCCCACCATTTCTGTGCCTCAGCCTCCCCAAAATGCTTCCGGCTGCGAGATCAACATGAGCAAGTTATCATAAGAGTATTCGATTTTGAGCCAACCGTGTTGACATAAAAGTATGGCAGAGGCTTTCTGGAGTTCACCTGAACCGGATGCGCTTGATTCCCTTCTTACCACTTGGGGATGTAACGACTGTAATGTACACCCCACGCTCAATTTGCTCAATCACTCCATTGGAGTCAGTAGGAGCAACTGTGCTATCTGTTCCCCCATCATACCCTCTGCTGCTATTGGAGGCTCTTCTGCCATTCTGATGCACAGCTGAGTCATCCACCACAACAGTGTTAGAAGATGTTGCAGATTGCATATCCACTTCTTCTATGTTGTGTTGATCCCTGATGCTGTTTAGCAGTGGAATTTTGCCAGTGACGAGAGTTTTGTCGGGTGGGTCAGGCAAGATACTGGAACCGCCTAGTTCCAGATCATCTAAAAGTTTATTTGATAAAGCATTCCTCTGCACAAGTTTGCAGAAGATAACTTATTTGACATCGGACAGAAAAGTTCTAAAATCTTGGAATTGTTAGTCAGACTTATACCTGATTTGTTAAGACCTTTATAATCTCCTTTGCAGCTTTGCACTTTGTAGCCTCATCCCTCACTATCAACCAGGTTTCCTCAAGTTTTCGTTTATACAACTGAATTTTCAGGCTCCTATGCCGGCATTCTTCCGCTAGAGTGGTTACCTGCTTAGATAAGAGCAAGATCACCATCTGTCTCAGAAAATCAATGATTTGAAACACAGAATAAAAAACCAAAATAATTTCGTACAAGAATTATTATATGGGTCCCTAGAAAATAATAAGTTATAGAGATTACCTGTCCTTGAAGCTGCTTCACTTCCTCCAGCAGTATCTTTTCCATCAAAGCTTGTTCTTTCCTCCTATCATTAGTAGCTTGTGGCAAAGGGGCAGTAGTCTTTTGTGAGACTAGATCAGTCATTCTCCCTATACGACAAACATCAATTGTCTGCTTCTTCGATGTCAACCAATGTGGAATGTTGTCTCTTGCACATTTGAATTGATCAGGACATTCTACCTGTCCCCACCTCTGTTTTTTTTTGATTCAGAGTGTCTGATTCCTGATTTCTCTGGTTGGGAATTTGTGCTGAACTCATTTTTTCCATGATGAAATTTGCTTCCTTAAGCATTCGTGATAACTTTGGTGTATAAGATTCTTCTTTTCGGATCTTTGATCCACAACTCATTTTGCCATGCTCAGCTGTTTTATTCAGCTCATTGAAACAAGCATCACAAACACGACACTTGTTGCTCTTATCTGGTGCAAGGGCAGCCCTTTCAACCTTGTTGCTGCTGCAGGAATTGCAGAACAAGGAACCACAGTTGTAGCAGTTATGCTTCTTCCTTGTAAACCGAAATGCCAACCTGCAACTGCTGCATACAGATTGATCTTTGCTTGAGATTTCCCTGTGCACACAAATGACAGCAGTGAAATTGGAAGAACAAACTATACTGTCCACCTGTTTATCTTCTAGGGCCTCCACTAGAGTTGGGCAGCTCCTGTCAACATAATCCCCTAAACCAAGTTGCCCTTCTGTGCCTTTGCCCCAGGTAAACACTTTTCCGTTCATTGTCAAGACTGCGACATGGGAGCTGCCGCAGGATATATCTTTGACAAACTCAGTCTTAAGTGGCCCTTCAACCATACAAATAGATGAGTTGTCAGATCGAGGATTCCCTAATTGACCATGCTCCTTGCTTCCAATGGTAAATACAACACCTGTTATGGTTAGCACAGCTGTTAGTGACATACCGCAGGATACCTGAGTAAAATCACAATCAATGAGTAGTTCGACACAAGTTGGTACAAGCTTTGACTTTTTGTCAGTATGGCCCAGCTTCCCTCCACCTGCGTCGCCCCATGTGAACAGCTTCCCACCAGGAGCATTGCTCTTGAGTGTTCCTGATGTTTCCACAATAGCAGCAGTGTGCCATGGTCCACATGCGACAGACTTGGCTCTTAAGCCCCTCAAGGACTCCACTTCTTTCGGCTGAACAACACTAATTGTGTCACCATGTCCAAGAACACCAAATGTCCCATGTCCATATGTGAATAGCTTACCTGTGGAGGATACTATAGCTGTGTGCCACTGACCACATGCAATCTTCGATACAGATATGCCATCTGAAGTACTGATCAATTTATGCGGGAACCATGGGCTTCTTTGACACTGATTGTTCCCGAACCCTAGGCTATGAATCCCTTCACCCCATTCATAAAGTTCTCCTGAAACTGAAACTGCACATGTGTACTTTGCCCCAAATGCAATAGTCTTCACAGGTGTGGAGGCAAGAGAGTCAATGATCTTAGGATCAGAGACACTGTCACTTGTTTTGTGTCCCAATCTCCCTCCATTTTCCTCACCCCAAGAGAATACCTGACCCTGCTTAGTAACTATTGCCGCATGTTTCTCTCCACGGGCAATGCTCTGCACATCAAGAATCTGCGACGATTTCAATAACCTTGGAAGTGATATATTGGTTGCTGATACATGTCCATGATCTGACATACGACCCAGAACATCACCCCAGACAAAAATGTCCTTCAGAGAATCTGTTGCTGCATTTGATCCCTCAGATTGTTTGAGTTTAGGCATTTGAGTAATTCTTTGGTCCTTAATTTTTTCAGCAGATTTTATGTCTCTCAAATTATTTTTTACTCGATTTACCAATTCGGGACTAATCTTTTCCAAGTAGGAATCTAGTTCTGACCATGCTTTCTGTCTTGGAGAAAAGAATGGTTCGGAGCAATCCAAATTACTGTGCAAGTACTTGTTCTGTATCAACCTAGGACTGCCATATAGCGAATGTACCTTCATGAACAAATGATTGGAGAAATTATCATTTGAACAGTACAAGTAAAAGCATGATGCAATTGGAACATATGACAGTTGTGATGGCTATTTACAGTCGTCAGTCATGGTGTAGTACTTAACTAAAAATGTTGCCCCTCAAAGTATATGCAGTTTAAAGGCTTGTGGAACGTGTTAGTTTAATTGCATTAGTGGATATATTATCATCATCATTTTTGGTTGCAAAAATAGTTATAAAAAATATTTTCACTATGAACTATAAACTAACAAGGTAGCCATCGTCAATATAACCTCAACATGATCTAATATGCCAGTCATCATCGATATGTCCTTTTTTTCTGAAGCATGGAATTCAGAACAGTCTATTTAGTGTGATGTAAGAAATTTCATGAGCAATGTCAAACTCGCACTAAGACAATGCTATCATGTTTCTTTATAAAAATCAGGAAATGCATGAATTCCAGAATGAAAACCTTTGTGAAATTTCTTCCATCGTGCACAGCGAAAAGCCTATTTCTTTGCTGAATATAGCTAGGAGGGCTATTCGTGCAGCTGTTTATCCGACGGCTGTTTGTTGAGTTAACCAGAAGTAATGGGGTGCATGGCGCTGATATTAGGGCTGTAAGGCCTAAATACCAACATTCAGCTTGATCTCTATCTTTGCAAACCTGGGTTAACATGATCCCCAAATAAAAGGTTGTGTAAGTTAAATAAGTAAATAGATTACAAAATTGAAACAATGTGGACTACTGCATACCAAGTCTAGAGAGGATTCGCCGTTCTTGTATATTACTGACAAGGAGTGAGATTCCTTTTCTGGCCAATGCAGACGCAAAAGTTTTGTCTGCAAAATATTGAATTCTTAGAAAATCATTGTCTTCCAACCATAATGTGTTACTAGTAAGGGGCCAAGGGCTAATGCATATATTTGGAAAGGGAAAGTCGCATACAGTCTTCTGTCCAAGAACTACACTGGACACTGAATTCAAGCTTAAACGTTTTTCCCTCTCTTTGGAGTGCCATATTAGTGCTCTCTCATCCTGCAAATAGAAAATTATCAAATACGTAAGAGAGCCAAATATGGTATGTAAGTGTATAGAAGTTAAAGATGTTCAGTTTCAGTTTACTCAAGTTGGTCAATCTATAGCAAGCTTCTGAAGACGAATAAAACCAGAACTGGTCAATCCATAGCACAATGTTTCATTTAAAGAAAATTATGAAGCAAATGGAAGAAAACATGTAAACATATAGCCAAACTACTCACATAAGATAGCCTGACAGTGCAGAATTTGGGTTTCCCTCTCTTCCCACATTTCAGGAGATGTGCACCTTTCTTGAGAGTAATAATGGCCTGTAGGAAGGAACAAGATGTCAACCACAAAGTGCTATTCATCTAAGATGCATCTTTCCCAGCATTGATATTGTCTTGTACATATGAAAACAATTAAACAAAAGGACACAGACAAGAAAATATACTGAACAGAGCTGAGACATGCACAAAAGGAAACTCCATGTTTACATTCAGGATTCTCTTTCATAAGAAATCATGCTGTCTAATGCATATGCTTTGTTTTCTGAATAAAATGCAGGGTATGTATTGGCTCCCCCGGGGAAGGAGATGGCCAGGAAGAAAGAACAGATCCTCGTGATTGAATGAATGGCATGCAGCGATGAAACTACAAGAAGCTGCAGAAGAGAAGAGAGGCAATAGGAGGATGAGAACAGCGGAGCATATCTTATGCGTAGATCTGCTCGAGGTACCACAATTCTCTGGAATAATGGACAAGAAGAACAGCTGCATACCTGCTCGACTCCTCTGGTTGTGGTTGCAGAGCTCCTCCACTCCAAGCCCCCGGCCATTGCTGGTAGCCAGCTACAAAAGATTAAACGGACGGAAAGGCCGGCAGCGCCTTGAGGCTTGAGCGAAGTCCAGGTCCAAACCTCCTTTGATCAACAGTGGGATGGAGCAAAAGATGGCAGTGAAGTGACGGAAAGAGCGCTGCGAGGAAAGAATGAAAGCGAGCAGGAGGTAAAGAGAGGAGGGTGCAGAGGTTGAGGACGATGGACTGAGCGCGCTGCCTGCTGCGCGATTCAAGGGAGCCGGAACGGGAAACAGCAGCGATTTCTAGCTGTGCGCGCTTAAAGAGGAGAGAGGATCAGAGGAGATGCAGTGTCACGCAGAGAGGGTTCACATGCACGCAGCACACACAGACAGAGGACATCTCCGTGCGCGGCAGAAACACAGGTGCACAACTGCGGTTCCCACCCTCTCCTTTATTAGTACTACTAGTAGTTTTTTTTTCTCGACATAGCATTGCAACATCCTTGTACTAGACTGTAGTGGGTACGGTACGAGCGACCCTTGGCGTTTATGTCTACTTCCTCAAAAAAAAAAAATTACATCATGTTCCATCGAACGTTGGACACATACATGAAGTATTAAATATAAACAATAAAAATAACTAATTGCATAGATTACGACTATTTTGTGAGACGAATTTTTTAAGCCTAATTAGTTCATAATTTGATAATAAAGTGCTACAGTAACACGCGCGCTAACGACGGATTAATTAGGCTTAATAAATTCATCGTCACGGTTTAATGACGGATTCTATAATTTGTTTTTTAATTGGTATCCATCGATGCGGCATCCCAAACTTTACGCCCTGTCACTAAACAGGGCCTTAGCTCCCATCGCTCTACGAGCCGTTTCTGAAATGTTGGATTTCATGTCAGGATCTGTCGAAGTTGCAAACAAAGCCCCGAGAAAATCGGCCCTTGGCGTCCTCTTCGCGAGCATCCATCTGACAGTACTCTACTGCCCTTAATCAGCGGAAGAAGATCGTGCACAACTGGATGATCTAGTATCCTGGTACGTGACTCGAGACATTTATCCGACTGCATTAACATCGCAGCATTCAATATGATTGTGCATTTTGCTTGTCCTGCGGTGGTCCGGGAACGTGAAATCTGCATGTAAAACGGGCATGGCTCCGGACATTTGGCAAGCTACGGAGTAGTAACAGGTGTAGGCAAGCAGTTTTGCAGCCAAACGCTAGGCTTGTTCAGGACAGCAAACGATGGATGGTGGCCTTGGCCCGGACGGCCAGACCCAGAGGGCCAGAGGGCGGGGCGGAAGAGGCTGATGATGATAGTAGGAGCAGGCTAGGACGCAGCGCAGGCAGGCGCTGCCCCCGCCCGGGCCTGCACGGTTCCGCTGCCCGCCGCAAACGATGCCGTCTCGGACGGACGGATTCGCTTTGCTGTCCTCCTGATGCGGTTTCGCCGAGTTGTAGAGCGAAGTGTGGCCGCTGGCCGTGAGGCCCGTGACGGACGCGGACGGTGACGTCCACGGGGGCCTCCGTAATTGCTCTGAACATCCTCCATGAATCGATATAATATATGTAACCCGTGCAGTACTGGTACGTGGTAGTGTGGTACTGCTGCTTCGCTCACGACGTCTCCATTTACTGCCAGTTCATCAATGTGTCCGTGTGCGTCGCCAAGAAAGGACTGAAGGCGACCACACTGATGATTACGGAGCACTGGTGCCGTCGCTTCATACTAACAGGTCGGCCGGTCAGGGATTGTGGGGTTGGTAAGATCTGGCGATCTTGCCTTGTTGCCATGTCGTCCCAGGTGCATGCGCGCGACCTCTTTCGTTGTTGTTCAGGTTCTTCAGGCAAAGTAGCCTGATTAAAGTGTAGCAGCGTAGCCGGAACGCATCATCAGTGCCAGTGGCGCTGCTTTGCTTTGACGTTACTGAAATTTAGGCACCAAACAAAGTCTGCCGGCTTCCATCAGTTGCTACAGTCCAAATGAATGCGCATTTGTGCATCTACAATCCTGAGTTTCTAATTGTAGCGCATGCATTTCCCTTGCCGTTGCTACCGGCCAGGCGAAGACACCAAGCGCGACGAAAGTGGTGTGCATGCAGGGCAAGTCTATTACAGTACTCATTACGGTGACAGAGCTGTCCGCAGGCAGCACAACAATTCGTGCGAGGGCGAGCATGCATTTGGCACAGGAGGATCAAAAGAGAGCATCGATTGCTGCTGCTCCTCTCTCACCTCGCTGCCTCCTCTTTAGGGCACCCCGACAACATAAAGCTCTTGAAAGCGAGGCACACGCCCCGTTCTTGCCGTCCGCTCTGCGATGCTCCACCACGAAAGGATCCCTCCAAAGCCAAAGAGGAAACAGGCGTCTGAATGTTGCGTGTTTGTCCCCCGTTCTTTGGTCATTGTTCAGCCTTATGAACTGGTACAGTATATACGTAGGAGCAGTGCAGGTCGATGGCTTGTGATCTGCTAGTCTTTCTTTAGCAAAGCCAGGTTAGCACTGATCTGATCTTGGGGCTGTCGAAATCTCCGCGGTGGTCCTTTTTGCTGCCCATGCCCTACCCATCTTAGGTTCGCATTGATTCGCAGGGCCCCTTCCAGCCCATGCGTCCTTCCCCGCGCGCGGTAATAATAATTCGGTGTCAAAAGAAGAGCACGGACGAGACGAGCGATCGATCGACCGGTTCAAAAACAGTGAAGAAGAGTAGCCTGCTGACACGACTCACGAGCGTTCGTCTCTGTTCGGCTAATACAAAGGCGGTTGAAGCTGTTTTTGTAAGAGAAAAATGCTGTCTATTTTTAATTGGCGAGTGTCACGTGTCCTCGCCGACACCGACTCATGCGTCCGTGGTGGGGGCCGCTTTGGTCTGACCCAAGTGAAAAGAACCCCGCTCCGTCGAGTAAGAACCGAATCTTTCAACGTACTACTTTCTCTTTGTGTGTCTCTCGCAGGCAGGGGGAGGAGACGTACATGCGGTGAAAAGGTGGGTAAAGAGAGACATGGATGATTGAGATTGACCGGTTGAGGGTGGTCGCGTCGCGTGCCGGACATGGCGTGAGCACAACAGAACAGAACAAACGGCCATGGCGCGTAGAGGTTGGGTTCAGCTCACAGTGCTGTTTTTGGGACGGCAGTTCACAGGCCAAGGGCCTAGGCCTAGCCTTTCGAGAGAATCCAAAGTGCGGAGTGCCTGCAGCTGCAACAATCACCCTGTTCGTTCGAGAGAATCCAAAGTGCGGAGTGCTGCAACCGTCACATGTTCGCTGATTGGTTTCTTAGTTAATAAGTTCGATTGTGAGAGAAAAGTACTGTTAACTGACTGATAACCTTGAATGAAACCAATAAACGAAGAGGTTGAAGAACAATCAGCGTCAGAATTCAGAAGTGCGACCACAGATGCCCCCAGAATCCAAGCAACCTGTTCTTCTATATCCTCGCTCAGTTTTTACAAGATTTACGTAGCATTAAAGGCACAGTTTTTCCTAAGTTGTCTGAGGTTCCAGATACACATTGATACCAATTTTATTAACCGAAAACCATTTGTCAACACACATACCATCACATCCAAATATCCAGCATGCACCATTCCTGAGCCAGAAACAATTTATTATGGAGACACATTTCTCGCGTTCACATTCTTCGGTACAGCTACAGCAGCATCAGCACAATTTGAACTCCACGATATCAAATTAAAATGCTGATACATTTCCATACAACTACACACTTTCAAGTATACAACAGCTCACATCTTAAAGTAAATTACCGATTTCGAAACGGCTACATTCATAGTGCCCTGGTGGATATAGGATGACATCAGCAAGTCATCGTCCACCACATACACCCATCAGCATCTCCTTGTTTGGCTGGTATTAAAGCCGGCTGATAAGCCGACTGAACCTGTTTTGTTGTGAGAGAAGAATACTATAGATTCTAGCTGATAAGCGCTGATAAGTTCAAGCGAACGGGCCCACCTCATCCTGTTGTATATTTTTACAGGTCCATGAACCTGTAAATAGGCTTCTCGTCTGTTCGGCTGTTCTTTTTTTTCAGCACTGCAGCTGCTTCTTTTGCTTTTTCTACAGTGTTTTGCTCTCTGGCTTGCAGCTGTGAATGAATGGCAGCCGAAGAATCCGTAAATTAAGCCTAGTTACAGGTTCGTGGACCGCATCCCTAACTCTCCCACTGTGGAAGGGCACTGATAAGTGTGAGTGTGTGACCTGTGAACCCTTAGGTTGCTGTGGCTACTGCAGGCCCCAGGAACAGGAACCGGCAAGGGCAACTCAAGCGAGGCCAAGGAGGAAGGCAGAGGCACTACTGAATTTACAGAAGGCATAAATACCCTCTTGGATGTTGAGCCCGGTTTCAGGCTTTCAGCAGATGGGGCGGCACATGTGGTGCAGATGGGGCAGCACATGTGGTTGGCACACTAAAACAGTGTGGCAGCTACGATGCTCATATGTTCTTACAGTTACAGAACTACACATTAATCACAGTAGCACTTGCTTAAATAAAAAGTAAAAGGAGGCATTTAAACACTAATAAAACATATTCAGGGTCTAAAAGCTAGTATGTGAGACATGTAGAGCTCTGCAATTATGGTTTCAGCAGATTTTGTAAAAGCGTGTGCCCACACGGCAGGCTATTAATAAGTGTCATAGGGTAAGATATGACATGGTAGCAGAATGCTGCATGAGTTTCGGGAATTGTCTGCTAACTGCTATGTGGGTATGATGTTTCTCATGTCTCACACCCCCAAGTTTGGGGTTTTGTTCTTCTGCATGTGTTTCTTCATTAATCTTCTTGATTAACAGAAGTGTAGAGCAATGAAGAAAGCCAGATGGTTATGCACCTTTTGGTCGAGAAGGTCCAGCTCCGACCTTCCACCTGTCAAACTCAGTCAAACTCAGCATAAACGAGCTTGCATTCCGATGTCCCCCACCACCATATTCCTACAAGCAAGCAATATAAAGCATCAACACATCTATATAGTGTCTTCTTGTTAGATGAGGTAAATACAGCCTTATAAACCTCATCATCAGGGAAAAGATGTACCTGAGAGATACAAGTTGTGTCTTCTTGTTCTAAACTTCTTAGACTTATTTTCAGCATCTGGTCATTATTCAACTCAGGGACTTTGTATACAACAGCCCCAATTCCCCTGAAACAAAAGGGCACAACTCACATCATTGAAACTATGATGTAGCAAAGTCCACATAACGTGCTAGTGAATATTGAATAAGCAATACAAGAAAAGACTTGAGTCTGGATACATATATCAATAGGAGGGAAAAAACTTGCCTTAGATTCAAATCACGGCTCTTGCTAGCTAGTTGATTTCCAAGTTCGCTTCTCAAATTTGAAATAGCATCAGCATCAACAGCCTAATGGGCCATGAAAAGGCAAAATTATATAAGTAAACAAGTAGTACCTGTGACTGTGAATACAAAGGTAGTAAAAAAATAACATAGTCTTATATGGGACTACCAAGACACCATATAAAACCAACTGGTACTGTACCTGCTAATAGTGCGAAACTAGTAAGCGCATGAATAAAACAAAAAGGTCACTAAAAGTTGAACTTCGATAATAAACAGTATATGAAAAATAATGTGTGACATAATTACCAGACAATTCCCAAACTGGCCACTTCCCAGGGAAATTTCATAAGATTTCTCCAGACAATCATCTATTAATCTTTGCTTCTCTAATAATGTTGCTTGTCCATGGGAAACGACATGCTCAGGATCCAACTCCAGCAACTGTCACAGCCAGGTAAGTAAACATTAGGAATTTAGGAGGAGACACTGTGTCCAATATCCAAACTAACTGGTCTACAGTTTTTTTAGGAGCACCAGATATAACACAGTTATCCTGTATTGGATGATAACATCTCATGAAACATTTTCCTGATTTTTTTATCACTTTATGGTAAAAATTTAAACAATTTTTCCCATTGACTGGAGAGCTTTGAGATGATCAGATGCATATTATTCAACTAAAACCAAAATCATGAAACCTCTTGATTATACATCAAATGGAAATTCTGGTTATTTAAGCAACTGTTTCATATGCATGAAGCTTGAGATGTTAATATAATAACTTCAACTAATCAATAATTCGGGTATGAAACAAACATCAGGTGATGTAAGGAGGAACACGTGGACTTCCTTTTTGCGAGTAGTCACTGCTGCACCAAAGGACTAACATCAGGCAGGTGTTACCTGATCAAACAATTTACTGTTTGCATTGACATTGAATTCAATGTCCAAATCTTTAAGTCCACTGCTGAAGGCCTTGCTATTTGGAACTTTCCATCTCCATAAGTCCCCATCTTCAATAAACTTAAAAAGCTTGTGCACTGTTTCAACCTTGTTGTCAGGTACATATTTGACCTCGGCTACATCTTTACCACTTTCATTACCCCGTAAGGTGCTAACTTCTGTCAAGAGCTTGTTTCTAAAGAAGTCAAATGCAATTGTCGCACCACTACGCTGCATGTCTATCACCTTGGTCACATTTTGCCCAAGTGTGGCATTCCCACACAAACTTTCAAAAGCAGTTTTATGATGGTCCAGGATCGTTGCTCTGAAAAAGGATAAATATTTAAGTGTCAATAGTGTTCAATCGGAGAGGGGTTTGAAAAATAAAAAATTATCAACAAAATGGATTACATATTGAAAGCTTCACACTGTTCCAAATGACTGCATAGTGTACAAAGAACAGAAATCTCTTAGATTTTGATTAATGAATTTCATGTGACAGATTATGGCAAAGTAATCACTGTTGAGCTACACATGACATCTTGCATGCATACTGTCATATGCATTAAAGAATATGACAACATGGAGAGTTGATGTGCATTATCTGTTAAGGAGAACAAGGATTTGAAACCAAAAGTATGGAAGGACATCTCAATTTGGAATGGTCTATCAAACCCACAGGTTATCCTGATGGCAACTTCGATTTATCGGTGATGGGGCAAAAGCAGGCTTAGTGTCCCCAAAAAGGACAGGAGGAATTTGGATGGGGTAATGATCTATTTTTGGTGGAATCTGTGGAAACAAAGGAATCGACGAACATTCCAAAAATTGGTCTCCAACTGGTTCAATAAGCTTACATCATTCAGGAGGATATCAAGCAATTTCATTTGGCAAAAAGCTGGGACCCCAAGGCTCATGGATCATTATTCCAATATCTCCAAGTGGCACCCTCTTCGGTTTTGAGCTTTTTAGTTGTACTTTTGGCTGCTCTTTTAGTAGTAGTTGTAGGGGAGGTGTTGTTAGTCCCCAAAGCAGTTGCACAGCTGCATGTATTTTTCCTTTGGTTGTTGTATGTTTTGTTTTGGTACTTTTCCTTTCTAATAATATAACTCGGCAACTCTCTTGCCGATTTTTCTTAAAAAAAACACAGATAGTGACTTTACCTCCCTCTGGCGAGAAGAAATCAAGAATGGAGGTGACTTCACTACATTTGCTCACATAAAGCAATTCCTATGTTCAGGATATGAAAACTGGGTGCATATGCTTACAGACCTTTCGACTTTAGTGGATATATCTTCAACAAAACCGGGAGGTCCCACAAAGTCAAGCAGGTAAACATCTTTTATTTCTTCCAACGGAAGTGAATCACTCCTACAAAACAGGAAAAAAAATGTCATAGCAGAAGGAATATACCAGAACAAAAGCATCAGCACAACTGCACAAGAGTTTGTTTCACTAAGATAAAAATCCCACAAAAGTACCAAAAGAGGTGTTGTGTGTGTTATGATTTAATGAAATCCAACAACGTTAGTTCCATCTAGCTTTGATTATGCTAAACCTAGTACCGATTGAATCCTTCCCACAACAAAATACAACTAGAAGAGTCCGCAGCAGAACTTTTATAATGCCTACACTACAATCACTTAAGGCTCACACTTTCATCAGGTATTTACTGTTTTATGTGACAATTAGATCACCACACCTTTGGAATCAGAGAATTGAAAGTCTAGAGCCACAGCCCACAGTCAATAGTTGCAGTATGATAAGGCTTGAGTACACCGTACTCATAAAGCTCTGTTCAAATCTACAGTACTGCAAGAGTAAACACCAGAAACGCCGGTGCTTCCTGCGGTGCTGCATATCTCAGCAGACCCCGTTGCGTGCATTGGAGTTCGCAGTGGATAGCAACTTCGGAGCGAAAGAGGGTATCATGGTACCTGATGGGGTCGTAGACCGTATTGGGGAAGAAGCGGACGGGGTGGGCGGCGGCGGAAAAATAGAGGTGAGCGGCGAGCGCGGCGAACGCGCCGTCCGGGCACGGGTAGTGGTAGAGCACCGCCGAGATCTTCCGCGCGGCGCCGGCGCAGGCCATGCGATCGATATTCCGGCGGGGCACGGGCACGCCGCACAGGTCAGGAGAACCGGGCGGTGGCAGGTTTGGTTCGGTGGTTGCACGGAGGCACGGAGCGCGGACGACACGGTTGATTTTTTATTTTATTTTTAACACTTTTTTAAATCAATTTTAAATCTAACACTGTTTATTTTTTTTTCTAAACCTAACACTTTTTGCGTCGCGCCATGCATGATGACGCGGCGAGAGGGGTGACGTGACGACGATCGGGACGTTGACCGGCGACGAGAAGAATCTGCCGCGCCACCGATCTTGGCGCGGCACTGACGCGCCATAGCCCACGACGCGGCAGTCCTACGTAAATATCGCCCGCGAGCCGTCGTCCTCCCTCTGTCTGCCTGCCCGCCTCGCCGCCGCACGCCGTGCCTACCGTCGCCCGGACGCCGACGCGTCCCTCCGAACGCCGCCCGCACGCCACCACGACGACGAAGCCGGGGTCCATGGTCGCGTCGTTGCTCATCCTCACCAACAGCAGCTCCCGTTCAATTGCAATTGATCTTTGGTCTTCGTCATGCATGTCCGTGTCTCCGCCGCGTCAGGCCTTGGCGCGCGTGCCGTGCCGCACGCCGTGGTATATGGCGCGCGGCAGACCACCGCCCACGTCATCGGTCGGCCGCCACGTCGTCGTCGCCACGTCATCCTTCCGCCGCTCCACCATACATGGCGCAGCACGGGCGTTTCGCCGCGCCATGGCAATAGGCGCGGCAAAAAGTGTTAGTTTTGAAAAAAATAAACAGCGTTAGATTTAAAATTAGTTCTAAAAAGTGTTAAAAAATAAAAAAAAAAATCACTGCAGTTGAAATAGCCCGCTAGTGTTTTAAATTTAAAAGGCTGTGTTTTAAAAAGCAAATTGCCAAAAAACAAAAATGTTTCACACAAAACTCCCAACTCGCACCAAAAAGAAGATTCTGTCACATCAAACTTGTGGTACATGCATGGAGTACTAAATGTGAAATCAGGATTTGTTGTTTTTAAACGTTTTGAGTCTAATTGCGATTGGACAATTATTACCAATAAAAACAAAACACTAAAAAAAGGTTGAAAAGCTGCGGAATCTGAAAGTTTTTGCCAAGCTGCGGAATCTGAAAGTTTTTTCAGAAACAGAGTACAATTATCACATCACCTTATATTTTGTTTTTAGTTTTTACCTTTTTTAAATGAGTACAAATAGAGAGATATTTTAAAGTTGTTTCAAAAAAAAAATAGAGAGAGAGTAGATTTCGTAATAGTTGTTTCAACCAAACATCTGCCCCTCCATCAAAAAAAAAATAGCCATTCTCAGGTTTGAAATGTGTCGGAAAAAAAAACAATCACTTTAGTGTAGGCCCACCACTTTACCCCGAATCGAGGCAGCAGGCCTACACCCCCTACCTCACGTTTCCTCGCATGCATCTCGCCTCTCACCTTTCCTCTCGCATCTCGCACCGCACCGCCATCGACCGGCGTTTTCTTCACTGCTGCACGGAGGCCGGCGCCCGCCCTCCTCTTCTCCTCCGCCGGCGCAAAGGCCGGCGCCTGCCCCTCCTTTTCTCCTCCGCCGGCGCAAAGGCCAGCGTCTGCCTATTCTCTAATGGCGCGGAGGCCAGCGCATGGGCCCCTCTTCTCCACCAATGCATAGCCGGCCTGGTCCCCTCCTCCACTGGCGCGGACGCCACGCTTGCCCTCCTCTTCTTCTCCAGCGACGGCCGGTGCAGCGGAGATCCAGGCTGTGGCGGTCGAGATCCAAGGCGGTGCAGTGGAGATCCAGGCTGGTGCGATGGAGATCCAGGCTGGTGCGGCGGAGATCTAGGCCGGTGCGCGCGGAGATCTAGGCTTGGCAGACAGAGATCCAAGCCAATGCGGCGGAGATCTGCGCGGAACCTCTTCTTGACGCAGCTGTAGCCATACCGCCTTTTCCCGGCGATGGCGGGCGTGGCGCAGGCGCTGTTGGAGGGGCCAATCAGCGTCGAGGCTGAGGTGGCGTCGTGGCTTAGTGCGGTGGCAAAGATGGAGCGGCCCAGCGTTGGAGAAGGAGGCGCGGGTCTGTAGAATAGGGGTATGATGGTCTTTTTGCTCTGATCTTGGTAGCCGCGTTCCGTACCCGAACGACTCTTTTTCTGGGACGGAGGGAGTACAGTTTTTTCACAACGTATAGCTTGTAACAATTTTTCGACAGCTCATAACTAAAACACAAGCGAACCTTAGTTCTGTAGGCAACACAGTTGGAGAAAGAGAATTCGTTACCATCCAAATATAAAAGCATTGCAATAGAATGTTCCTTTTCAATGTATTTGATTTAAATTTAGGGTTTGTTTGATAGACTAGGATAGACTGGGACTAACAACTAGTTATATTAACTCGTATCTGTGAATTAATGGGCGTACTAGTTCGTGATTAGTGGACTAGAAATTATAGTATGTTTGTTTGGATCTTTAGGGACTACAAAAATTAGTCAATTGTTTCTCTGTTTCAAATTATAAGAAGTTTTAACTTTTCTAGATACATTTGTTGAGCTATGATCCAAATTCAAACTTGGGTCGAAGCGAAGCGGCCCATTAGCGTTAAGAAGGATTACACCATCTATTAGTTCCGTATTGCTAATAGACGAGGGTGTGGGAGTTTTCCTCCCTATATATACTTTATGGCATCGTCTTGGGATAAGAAAAGTTGTAAATCCTCGACGTTTGTAACCTCAACCGATATAGTGAAAATTTGCTGGCTGGTGCCCGTGGTTTTTTCCTTCCACCTTGGGAGGTTTTCCATGTTAAAATCTCATGTCCCCTGTGCTTGATCTACTGTTCTTTGTTCGTTTATATTGCCTATCGTTTTTAACAAAGTGGTATTAGAGCTTGGTTTGACCTTAGGGTTTCGCGATGGCATCGATGAAGTTTGATCTACCGCTGCTGGATTACAAGACGAGATTTGCACTGTGGCAAGTCAAGATGCGGGCGATTCTAGCACAATCTTCGGATCTTGATGAAGCGCTGGACGGTTTCGGAGGAAAAGGACAAAAGTCATGGACCGCTGAAGAGAAGCGGAAGGATTGTAAGGCTCTGTCTCTGATTCAACTTCATATACATAATGATATTTTGCAAGAAGTGCTGCAGGAGAAACTACCGCTGAACTTTGGCTCAAGCTGGAATCGATCTGCATGTCCAAGGATCTAACCAGTAAGATGCACGTGAAGATGAAGTTGTTCACGCACAAGCTGCAAGAAGGTGGTTTGGTGATGAACCACTTATCGATCTTTAAGGAGATCATTGCCGACCTAGTGTCGATGGAGGTAAAATATGATGATGAAGATTTAGCTCTTCTACTGTTATGCTCACTGCATACTTCATTTGCAAATTTCCGAGATATCATACTATTAAGCCGTGATGAACTAACCCTTGCGGAAGTATACGAGGCGAGCTAGATGAGGGAGAAGATAAAAGGTATGGTTCAGTCTGATGTGTCATCCTCCAAGGGCGAAGTGTTGCGGGTTAGAGGCAGACCCGAGCAGAAAACCTAAAACAACAACAATAATCGAGACAAGAGCAAGAACAGTAAAGGCCATTCGAAGTCCAGAGGCAGGGATAAGTTATGCAGGTATTGTAAGAAAGATACTCATGTCATTGAGGATTGTTGGAAGCTGCAGAATAAGGAGAAAAGAAACAGTACGTGTAAACCAAAAAATAAATCTGATGGTGGTGGTAGGGCCTATGTTGTCTCCGCTGTTGATAATTCTGATTCAAGAGATGTTCTGGTTGTTTTTGCTGGTTGTGTTGCTGGTCGTGATGAATGGATACTTGATTTTATATGCTCGTTTCATATATGCTCTAACAGAGATTGGTTCAGTTCTTACAAGTCTGTGCAGAGTGGAGATGTCGTGCGTATGGGAGATAACAACCCACGTGAGATCATGGGCATTGGCTCCGTTCAGATCAAGATGCATGATGGCATGATGCACACACTGAAAGATGTGAGACACATACCAGGGATGGCCAAAAATCTCATCTCCCTCAGCACACTTGATGCCGAGGGGTACAGACACTCCGGTTCAGGTGGAGTGTGTAAGGTATCAAAAGGCTCTCTCATTCATATTGTCGGATACCATAAAAAGGGGTACCCTAAGTAAGAACCGAAAAGATTGCTTAGACATTGCAAATATCAAAGCCAAAGGACAACCACGAGGTCTCGGCTGATTTTCTGATTCGCTCGAGGCCCCGCGCATAAGCCTCGGGTGAAAGGCCAACCCTCCGCCTCGCCGAGGCCCTCTCGCCCGAGGCCCCGCCCCGCAAGGCCTCGGATGGGTTACCGATTCTCCGATTCGCCCGAGGCCCCACGCATAAAGCCTCAGACGAAGTATCGATTCTCCGACTCAGTCGAGGCCGGCTCGGCAACAACCTCGTCGCCTCCGTCTCGACCGACTTCTCTGACAAAACATCGCGTCCAATTAACACGTCTAACCACTCCCGCAACGTCAGCCGCACGTTGACGCAGTACAACAGAGTGGCCGATGGGATGGGAGACAGGATCGGCGAGGGGTTCGGCCATCGCAGCTCAAAGACCTGCGCCCATAGCTGGCGCCCGATTTGCCTGTGTGCTACCTATTCTCGCTCTAGGAGCGCTGTAGTGGCGTGGGGAGTCAAGTCTGGGTCACTATAGCCTTGGAATCAGTGTATAGGCCCAACTGCTCCCTCCAAGCCTCGGCAACCCACTTCAGGGTCTCGACAGCCTCGGGATTCGCACCCACCGAGCCCCCCTCCCCATGATGGCTCAGCCTCGGCACCAACTGAGCCTCAGCTCTTTACACTGTCAACGCACAGCGACCGGCACGTCATCGGCCATGCCCTGCGCCAAGCTATCACTGGAGCTCCCACGTCGCACAAGATCGGGTGTGACTGGCGCATTGCTCCAGTGCATCAAGGACAAGACCGCTCCATTGACCATGCCGCCACAGTGGTAAGCTACAGGACTCAGGCACGCCACCTCCGCTCACAAGACACTACATAGCAAACACATGTATCGCCCCTGTCCCCCTTCAACTATAAAAGGAGAGACCGGGGCCATTTCTAGAGAGGAGGAAGATAACGAACATTCACATAGGCTCACGTAGATTCAGACACACGCTCCCCCGCTGCCTGAGAGCAACGTCTCAAGCAGCCCACACCGCTCCACGCAGAGACCTAGGACTAGTTCCCTCTCTCGCCCAGCTTGTAACCCCCTACTACAAGCACTTTGGTGCAAGGAATACAAGATCGATCTCTCAGACTGGACGTAGGGCACCGATTGCCTGAACTAGTATAAACCTTGTGTCTCTTTGCATCATCATCCGGGATTAGGGGTACGCAGTTCAAATTCACTAGTTGGTTGAGAGCACCCCTAGTCCAAAACACCGACACATATGATAGGTGATATGAATTCTGCAAAGTTATATGTTCTTAGAGGAAGTACTTTACATGGTTCCGTCACTGCTGCTGTTGTTTCTAACGATGAACCAAGTAAAACTAATCTCTGGCATATGCGTCTTGGGCATATGAGTGAACTTAGTATGGCAGAATTGATCAAGAGAGACCTGCTAGATGACTGCACTGTGGGTAAGATGAAGTTCTATGAGCACTGTGTTTTTGGTAAGCACAAGAGGGTAAAATTCAATGCATCTGTTCATACCACCAAAGGAACACTTGATTATGTACATGCTAATTTGTGGGGGCATCTCGTAAGCCCTCTTATGATGGTGCTCGTTACATGCTTACCATTATTGATGATTACTCTAGAAAAGTGTGGCCTTACTTTCTAAAAAATAAAGATGATACTTTTGCTGCTTTTAAAGAGTGGAAAGTTATGATAGAAAGACAAACTGAAAAGAAGGTAAAATTGCTTTGTACTGGAAATGGCGGTGAATTATGTTCGGATGCTTTTAGTGATTACTGAAGGGAAGAAGGCATTGTCAAGCACCACACCATCCCATACACTCCTTAGTAGAATGGTGTGGCTGAGCGCATGAACCGAACCATCATCTCGAGGGCTTGTTGCATGCTGTCCAATGCTCGTATGAACAGACATTTTTGGGCTAAGGCTGCTAACACCGCCTATTACCTAATCAACCGGTCACCTTCTATCTCACTTAATAAGAAAACTCCTATTGAGGTATGGTCTGGTATGCCTGCTGATTATTCACAGTTGAGAGTTTTCGGTTGCACTGCTTATGCTCATGTTGATAATGGAAAGCTGGAACCTAGAGCCATTAAGTGTCTGTTTCTTGGTTATGATTTTGGAGTTAAAGGATATAAGTTATGGAATCCTAAAACTAAAAATACTTTTATGAGCAGGTGAAAGTTCTAGTTTGGTTTTGATGAATTGATGAAACCCTAAGTGCTAACCTAGTTTATCAAGTGATCATGATATAGGTAGCACACTCCAAGTGGTGAAGCAAATGAATATCATAACATGATGATGGTGATGCCATGGTGATGATCAAGTGCTCGGACTTGGAAAGAAGAAAGAGAAAAATAAAAGGCTCAAGTCAAAGGTATAAATTATAGGAGCTATTTTGTTTTGGTGATCAAGACACTTAGTGAGTGTGATCACATTTAAAATCGATAACCGTACTATTAAGAGAGGTGAAACTCGATCGGAATGCGGTTATCAAAGTGCCACTAGATGCTCTAGCTCATTATTAAGAGGTGTGAAACTGAAAATGTGAAAATATCTAAACACATGTGCACAAGGTTATCAAAGTGCCACTAGATGCTCTAACTCATTGCATATGCATTTAGAATCTAGTGGAGTGCTAAGTGACCGGACCCTTGAAAATGTTTGCGTCGGTCAAAAAATATGCTAACACATGTGTACAAGGTGATACACTTGGTGGTTGGCACATTTGATCAAGGGTGGTGAAGTTTGGATGCAAGGGGGGTGAATAGTCTTTTCTAAAACTCTAACCGATATAAATGCGGAATTAAAACAATCGGTCTAGCCAAGACTACACCCCTCTATATATGTTCACTAGCACCTTGCCTAATAAAGAGTGCGGATAGAGCTCCTAAATAATTCTAGGAGCAATGTCACACAAACCTATGCCACCCTTTAGATACACATGCTAGTAAAAAAGCACAAAGCTAACTAAGCTCACTAGCAATGTTCAATAACAAGGCAACCAACGCCTAATTAGAGAGCGCAAATACTTAGCCATAAACTAAGCAATGTTGGACCACGCTAAGGAGCTACGCTATGCTACACAAGCAAGAATGTAATTAGCTAGCTACACAAGCTATCTAATTAAGCTTAAGATATATATATAAGTAATTGCAAGCTTGTGTAATGGGGATGCAAACCAACGGGAAGAACAAGGTTGACACGATGATTTTTCTCCCGAGGTTCACGTGTTTGCCAAACGCTACCACTTGGTGGAGGCGGCTAATTAGCATCACCGCTAAGCCCGCACGTCGGGCACCGCAAGAAACCTACCCTTGAGTGAGGGTAGCTCAATGACACGCTTTACTAGAGTTACTCTGATGCGTCCGGGGCGCAGCACAAGTACCCCTCACAAGCACTTCTCCGGGAGCGCCGACAAGCTTCTTGCGGCGCTTGACGGAGACCACCACCAAGCCGTCTAGGAGGTGGCAACCTCAAGAGTAACAAGCACCATCGGCTCGTAACTTTCGATCACCTAGTGCCACTCGATGCAACCTCACGATGCAATGCACTAGAATCGCCGCCCACTCACACAATCGAATGATCACTATCAAGTATATGTGTGATGGAGGGCTCTCTCAAGCACTCACAAGCATGGACACTAAGTCCCTGATGTGCTCTGGCTCAAAGACCAGACCATGCCGAGGGCCACTTCTATTTATAGCCCCAAGGGCTAAACTAGCGTTACCCCTTCTTTGGACAACGATCGGGCCGACCGGACGCTTCCGGTCGTGTTTCGGACTCTCGGTGTCCGTCGCCTGAGACGACCACGTGTCCCGATTCCAACGGTCACTTGACTGGCCGAACCGGGCGAAGAAGTTTTCAAGCGACCGGACGCTAAAAGGTCGTCCGGTCGTTTCCGATATAGTACCGACCTCGACCGGACGCGCGTCCGGTCACAGCGGACGCGGTCGGCGTCCGGTCACACTCTAACTTTCTGCATCATCGACGGTCGACCGACGACAGACGACCATTAAAATCGTCGGTTGACCGACGCCAAACATCTTCGCGACTAACTCGTTTTCACTTCTAACTTCATCACCCTTGCTCCAATGTGCTAACCACAAGGCGCGTAATAGAAAATAGGCATTCTATTTTCCCGGCGTGAATCGAAACAAGTCGGAGGGAGAGAGGGACCCAAACCCATCTCACCTCGCAAACACCACCTCCTTTGTAAATGTGCCAACACCACCAAGTGTACACCACCATGTGTATATGTGTTAGCATTTTCACAATCATTTCCCAAAGGATGTTAGCCACTCCTTGCCACGCCACTCGATCCTAGTGACAATGCAAAGTTAGATCTTTCGAGTGGCACTAGATGACCGATATACAAACAAGTTTTCGGCCATTATCATGGGGCTTCTATTTACCTATAACCGGTGAAATGAAATACCCTAGGGCTCAAGCTCACTCTCTTGGCTATTTTCATTGACATAGCAACCTTGTCAGCAATTAGCCAAAGCCCTCCCACTCATTTCATCGATCTTGATAGATTAAACATCTTTGTGAGATTGGGCCAAGAGAATTCAAGTGCATTGCTTTGAAGTGTTTGCATCAAGCCAAGTCTTGTCTTGAGAGGCACTTGATGTTCATGTGTGAGCTTTGCAACATCTCCAAGCTATTTTCACCTCCATGGCATATGTTGCTCATACACATGTACTGTGGACTAATTTCTCACATAAACACAATTAGTCCACCTAGGTTGTTGTTACCTTTCTTGGTGGTTGCAAGCGCCACCTAGATGGCTTGAAAGAGCGATGATTTGAAGCAAGGGGCAAGGATCACGTGAGAGGAGGATGATGATTGTCTCCGTCCCCAAGATGCGCCCAAAGTGATCGTGGTGATTATTTGATGGGGTTCTTAACCTTTTTTTTCATAGCAACCTTGTGAGCGCCAAAGCCCTCCCAAAGGTACTCTAGTGGATTGCTCGTGGCTTGGTGTGTGATCCTCATCTTTTGTGTTTGGTCAGACGGGCTTGAAGCGCAAGGCACCCTATCGAGGGTTTGGTGTGTGAAGCCCGATCGTGGTGATTGTGAGGGTTCTTGAACCTCCAAGTGAGTGAATCTAGCCATTGCTCGTGGCGAGGACTAGCTGTTGACACTCTATCGAGGGTTAGCAAGCAAGTGAACCTCGGTGAGTGAAAATCATTGTGTTCATCATTGATTCCGTAAAAAGGTGATTGGTCATCATCATTGTGATTGGTCTTCATTTTATTCATCCTTGTGATTGATTAGTTCCTTTATCTACACGGCGGTATAACTTTCTTGATCACTCTCTTTACATTACCGTAAACTAGTTGTCAAGCTCTTTAGCGTAGTTAGTTGTGAGAGCTTGCTTGCTTGATTGGTGTGACTCTTTAGTTAGATTTTGAGAGCACACTAATATAGGGTAGTGTTATAGCTATTGTGTGATTAGATACTATCGAAACTAGAATTGTGGTAGGAGGCTTACATTTTAAGTAGGCTAGCGCAACACTTGCTTCGCCTCATAATTGTCTAACCATTTTGTTAAGTGTTGTTGTAGAAATTTTATTAGACTATTCACCCCCCTCTAGCCATTAGGACCTTTCAGCAGGAACGTTGTTTTCAATGAATATGTTATGTTTAATGACAGCTTGTCCACAGATGTTTCATCAGTTGGTTCTGATGAGGAGCAGGAACATGTTAGCGTGAAGGTGGAGCACGTAGATGATCAGGAAGTTAAAATTGTTAATAACAATATTCATGATATTGTTCAGCACTCACCTCCTGTTTTGCAGCCTCAAAATCAGTCTATTGCGAATCACAGAACAAAGAGGAGTTGTGGATCTCATCCACATTTAATTGAGGAATGTGATATTATTCATTATGCCTTTAGTTGTGCTGAACAGGTTGAGAACATTCATGACCCCGCTATGTACACTGAAGTTGTTGTTTCTAGTGACCGCGAGAAGTGGATTTCTGCTATGCAAGAAGAGATGCAGTCACTTGAGAAAAATGGCACATGGGATGTTGTGCGCTTGCCTAAACAGAAAAATGTTGTTCGTTGCAAATGGATCTTCAAAATAAAGGAGGGTTTGTCTTCTAATGAGCCTCCAATATTTAAGACAAGGTTAGTAGAAAAAGTTTCAGTCAGATTCCTGGCGTTGATTATAATGATGTGTTCTCTCCAGTTGTAAAGCATAGTTCAATTCGTATATTTTTCGGTATTGTTGCTATGCGAGATCTTGAGCTTGAGCAGTTAGATATAAAGACTGTGTTTCTACATGGAGAGCTCGAGGAGGAGATATACATAGACCAGCCAGAAGGGTTCATAGTACTGGTAAGGATGATCATGTTTGTAAATTAAAGAGGTCCTTATATGATTTGAAACAGTCTCCTCGTTAATGGTATAAAATGTTTGATTCTTTTATGATGTCACATTGTTTTAAGAGATCTAAATTTGATAGCTATATGTACATTAAATTTGTTGATGGACCACCTATATATTTGCTGTTATATGTCGATGATATGTTGATTGCTGCCAAGAGCAAGAAAGAAATCACTACGTTGAAGAAATTGTTGAGTAGTGAGTTTGAGATGAATGATCTTGGTGCTGCCAAGAAGATTCTAGGTATGGAAATTACGAGAAACAGAAATTCTGGTTTGTTATTTCTTAGTCAGCAAAGTTACATTAAAAAGTTCTTCATCGTTTTAACATGCATGATGCAAAGTCTGTTAGTACTTCTATTGCTCCTCATTTTAAATTATCAGCTTTAGATATAATTTGCATCTACTCATTGCATTATAAAACTTAAGTTTCAGTGATGAAATGTTACAATTAGATACATGATGGAAAAAATTCAGATGGGTTCCAATCTGGTCTCTAATAGTTAGAGATCTTCTAGCTATTTCTACTTTGATAAATTTGATCAAAATTAAAGAAGCTTGATATGCGCCCTGTTCGCTTGGCTTATAAACTGTATTTTTTTCAGCCAACGAACAATATTTTTCTCTTACAATAAATTAGTCAACAATACTTTCAGTCATGACTTATCAGCCAAGCGAACAGGGCAATTGAATAAAAACTAAAAATGATGTACTACATTTTTGTATTAATGTTGTAGTATTGATATTTGGCTTATTACATTTTTTTCGATATCCACTATGATGATACTATCTTTGTAAAAAAAAATACAATTCTAGATATGTTTTTGGTTAATGTGTCTAAAGACACCAAATATGTACGGTATAAAATATACCTCTTGCAATTCTAATGATAGTCATTTGATATTATAAATATATTTTTATATAGTTAGTTAAATTTAAAATATTTTAGCATGATGCTGTGCTGAGAGTGTTATTTTTTTGGATGGACGAAGTATATATTATTTATTTACCAGGTCTACCATCCTTTCTCATGCGAACCATCTTGCCGGCAGGCCCTTTCGTGAACCAATTGCGAGCGAGCCCTGACCATTGCCATGTCACCGATCCGTGTCAATCCCATGTGACGAGTCCTCCGCCATCAGATCGCATCCAACGCCTGTGAGGCTGTGACCCACGGATTCCGCCCGTCCAGCTCAGCGATCCGCAGCAACAGCACCAAAACCCATCCCACCCTCCAACCCCGATCTGACGTTTCGAACGCACCCATCCCACAAAACCATCCCCGAAAATCCTCCCCTCCCGGCTCCCGCCCAAACCACCGACGCAAAATTTCCCCATCTCCCCGCGCGCGGCCTCCCAATTCCCAAATCCTCTCTCCCCTATAAAACCCACCCCAAATCCACCGCTCCACCGCACCAAACTCACCGCGGCGAATTCGAATCCCACAATCTTCTCGTAGCACACCACCGTCACTAGAGTCTTCTTACACCTCGTCGGCGATGTCTGGGCGCGGCAAGGGCGGCAAGGGGCTGGGCAAGGGCGGCGCGAAGCGCCACCGCAAGGTTCTCCGCGATAACATCCAGGGGATCACGAAGCCGGCGATCCGGAGGCTGGCGAGGAGGGGCGGCGTGAAGCGCATCTCCGGGCTCATCTACGAGGAGACCCGCGGCGTGCTCAAGATCTTCCTCGAGAACGTCATCCGCGACGCCGTCACCTACACCGAGCACGCCCGCCGCAAGACCGTTACCGCCATGGACGTCGTCTACGCGCTCAAGCGCCAGGGCCGCACCCTCTACGGATTCGGCGGCTGAGCGCGTGCTCGTCTCCTCCGTCGTCTGCAGCTGCTGCTCGTGCCTTACTCTGGGTTCCCTGTGCCGTGCTTTCCTTGATGTAGAGAGTTATCTGATTCTTAGATCTCTGCTGTGTCTTGTTATTTGGGTGGATCATGTCCCTAGTAGTACTGAAATGTTAACACCACATTGATTGGCAGCAATGAAATTCCTCTGATTGGCCATCGGAACTCTTGTATCTCCCCTTAAGCGAAGTTTTTAGAGAATGACATTATCTCGAGGTGTTCGAATAGAAAATGCGGATGCTTTATCAAGGATTTTAAAACAATTTGAGTTTCCATTTTTTCTTCTTTTGACTCTTAGATGCAGAAAATACAGTGATTTGGATTAATTACTGTTGATGATTCATCTAGGTTCAGTCTGCTAATTTAACTCCAAAATTGGTACAGTTTTATACATCCCTAGAGAGATATTACAATTTTATAGGGTTTATTATTCTTGCTGTTGATTAAACCATCATGAACGGTTGGTGGGATTCTGATTTTTACAAGTCCCCAAAAAAAATCTGTATTGTATAGATTTTTTGGTTCTGGAACTGTGGCCTGAATCAACTTACATGCGGACTTGATGTTGATTCACAATTCTGAGATGCTTGTGCGTGATAATGCCCGCTGGATACTAATTTTATTCCATTTCTCGAAAATCTGCTGGAATCTTTGCTGTTTGTATGATACAGAGTATTTCTATATTTGAAAGATTCCTTAGTACAATTTGTTTATATTAGATTGCTGTTAAGATCACGGTTCTGAGATGTTTATGCCTGAGTTTTCCTCTCTGGTGTAAGCTTCCGATCTTTGTCGCGAATTCGCGATAGATACTAGACTGGCTCAATTCTCAATTCTAGTAGGAATCATCATTATTTAAAAACGTTCAATTCTACAAGCATAGGATCTACTATCAAAGTAGCTAATTGTTTCTTATATGAATGAACATGAGGCCATCTAAACGCATAAATTTAATGCAGCCGTCCTGCCTGTGCAGGCTAGCAGAACAGCTGTCGTCAAGCATGACGTCCCCATAAGAAAATCATCCTACAGGGCCAGCCCATTTATAGTGGTTGGGATGTTTCTCAATGCCTCCCAATGCCTCAGCCAAACAATCATTTTAGTTAATTTTATTTGTTTAAGGGTAGTAAGGTAATTGCTAAGCCCCTCCGACGCCCCCCTCACCTCCCACACCCCAAAACTCCACACCAAAGCAAATCTTCCTCTTTAGTTGCTCCCTATAATGTTATTTCCCCCTAAGGGCATATGCCCTCATACGCGCGCATCCAACGGTGGTGCATATGAGGGCATATGCCTTTAGGGGCAAATTTTTACGTCCGCTGCTCTCCAGAACTCCGTTCAGATGGCCGCCATGATGCACGTCACGATGGTGGCCGAAGGGCACAACGGCTAGGCTCCACCAGAGCCGAAACCACGTCTGTGATAGAACCGTCCAATTTATACAAGATCAAGTATGGCTACCCCTGCTAACACATTGGCACGCATATACTTTCACTTATATAAACCCGATAGTCCACCGAGTGTCACGAAGGACCTCGATAAATCCACATCACAACAAAGATCATAATAGATTAAGCAAATACACATCACATACACATAGTTTGCAGCGAAAATAATATTACAATTGAATTCACAAATAAATAATACATATTGAGTTCAAATATGATTAGAAGAAACAAAATATCTTTGAAATAATTATAGTAACATAAATTAAAATACACTACTAGCTTAAATGACATCCTCCAACAAAAGCATATAGATAAGAAATAAATACGGAGTCGCCGAGCCCACCGGCGGTTAGCCACCATTTATCGCAAGTCAATAACTTCATCTGCGTAACATGGTGGGATAAACTCTGAGTACTCGAATGTACTTAGCTAGACTTACCCGACATGAGAGAAATAAAAAAGACTCAAGGATATACAAGGCTTATCTCGTGGAGCTAGTTTGATAGCATAATTTTACAAAAAGAGCATTACTATCATGAGTCCTTGCTTTGAATATTTTAGTCAAGTTTTAGCATCAAGTTCAGTGAAACTATTACATATAGATTTGTACCTATGCTATAGCAATCACTTGATTAATAAGCATCACAATAGTAACCATATCCGGTTTATTATATAATCATCATAACCATCATGTTCCATCAAATGTTACTACGAATGCTGGACAATGACCAAGTTTCTCACTATCCGGGAGAGACGGCGATTCGAATTGATTGTAAGATAATAATTCCTAAAGATGGCTACATGGAAACTAAAACCTGAATTTCAGCAATCCTAGACTTAGCAGATTTTTGGGAACATAAAAACAACAACAGGTTCAATTTTGAAAGCATTGTTTGGCTAGGTTAGGCACTAATATAGGTCTAGGTCATTAAACAAAGTTTGCTCTATTCGACCATAACTACAACTTTTATTTAAGGTTCAACTCCATGCAAGCACTCAAAGCATACAGATCAATTTTTAGCACGGATCAAATCTTGAAATAAAATTACTTCTGGGCAGCTAGCATATAAAAGCATTTTTAACCTAAAGTATGAATATAAACTCTAACACATTTTTGATCCTTAGTGTGTCTAGGTTGATTAGGTGCTCAAACAACACCCACTTGCATTAACAAGCATGATCATATAGCATACACACGATTAATTTAAACATCACATGGAAAGAATATAGAGTAAATAAATGTAATTCACATGTTCATGCTCATGAATGAATGAATGATGCTTATGTTCATGCAATGCAAGTGTAATATGCAAGCTTAACACCTAGGGTGTTAAAGCGTCGAGATGGCGACAACCGATAGATCGGTGAGGATGATGGCCGCCAGCTTGGTGCAAAGAGATAAGAGGGAGAGGTGGTTCTTCAGAGCCACCATGAACGCGAACCGGAGCAGAATGACGGTCACGTCAGCAGCAGAACTCCGAAGGTGACCTGCGATGCGGCGTTCCAGGCAGCGA